AGCCAATAGCAAACTTCTTTACATGATCTTCCAGTGTTTCTTGAATGACTGTTTGGTAAGTCCATAGCAAATTTACAATGTCTCTTGGCATAGATCACATTTCCTGTCATACCCTGATATGGACTCTGATGTGGATATATTAATGCAATGAATGGGGATGTGACTCTTCATTTCCAAGGTCCCTAACATGGATAGTTGGATACAGGTACAAGTATCCTATGTAATATGCTTATCATCCTTCTATGTCTAGTTTTTGAAGTTAAATTTGATAACTCAGTACTTTGTCAAATTTAATCCAACTTCTAACATTTAAAAATTTTTTAGGTAATATGATTTGCTAAGTAATACAATTTTGCATATTTAAGAGTTTCATATTGCCGTATCTATGAAACTCATGTATTGTTTCTTACATTTGTAAAAATTGTTATATATTGAATCTTATATTCAATTGATATTTGCTTAAGATCTTTATTATCTGGTTTTCTAATACATATCATCTGTCTTTTCATGAGCTTGTATGCTAATTTCTCAGTCTGCTCATACAGCGTTTTGTGCAATTGATCCAGTAATGATTCAAATATTGAATTTTGTTCTTAGATTCAAAGTTAACTATAGGTTTCCATGGTCTGTTGTTGGAATGCATCTTTTTGTTGTTCTTATGCTTATCCCGTGATCTTGGTGTTAGATTTTACTTTGAAGTTTTCTTACTCAAAAGAGGTTGTTAACTTTGATTCACTGTATATAATATTTTTACGGCCTTGTTCCGTTAGTTATTGTCCTGAAAAGTACATGTTATGGAGTGTAGTTTTATCATTTGGACCTTCTCTTTTGTATGCAGATTTGGTCACCTGCCTAACTTCACATTTGATGTTGAGATTTTCCTCAAAGTGTTAAATCATGATGAGAAAATGGAATTATTGGAAAAATTGAAGCAAAGTTGTGACTCATCATTGATATCTCCAACAAGAACACTTGGGCAATCAATAACCATATTTAAGATTCAAGAACTGATTAGAAATATTTTCAATTCTCCTTTGGCTGGTGAGATGCCTGCCTCTTGTTCCTTGTGTTTCTATGTTATCCCGACATATCTTCTTTTCTGAAACCATCCGTGAAATTGATTTCTCACACTTCATTCATTTCTCTATTTGGCTCTTTAACTAATTGACTTAACTGTTTTCCTCCCAGAACTTGAGGGCACTGCTGTATCAATGACAGAAATTTACTGTAAAAATCTTCCACTTTCAAAGAACTTGGATCCCCAAGAAAATATGAATGGTGAAGAACTTCTATCTATGGCATGCAATGTACTGGTTCAGGTATTTGATGTGTTTTCTTATAAATATTCATCAATATTTTTTTAAAGTTTATTACTACATTACTTTATTTTCTACAAGATGCAATCTTATTCTTTTACCAAGAGTTTCGCCTGAATGATATTGTTTTTGTCTGTTGTTATATTGGGTGAGAAGATGCCCACCAGTAAACTGTCTTTGCTTGCTAGAATTTCTGGACAGCAAGATAAACTTGATGAAAATTCAAGAATATACATTGGATATTTTGTTTGGGGCTGCTGGAGCAGGAACTTGTTAGGAACCTGCCTAACTCAGGGCTCTTCGAGGGAGCCAACCTCCTGAATTCGAGAGATAGGGGAGAGGGAGGGAAGAGAGAGGCAAAGAATGATGCCCTTATTTCTCCTGTTTTTGATTATTTATATTGTTTACAGAGCTCCTCTTCTTACATTCTTTAATTTCTTTCTGTTAAAACCGCTGCAAGTGGACGGTCAGTTAGCTGAGCTGTTGTGCTGACGTGGCCTTCTCTTGTAAAACTGACTAATTGTTTTCCGTTGTTCTGTTTCAGTGGCCTTAACAATCCCTCCCTCAAGGTCTAATTTGGGAAAATTTGTTTGCCAGATCCAAGTAAGATTCCCAGGTTGCGTCCTCTTCTGGAAGTTTAGAGCAAACAACCAGTGCTTTTGGAATGACTCTTTCGCCACGTCGCACCCATCTGAAATAAATGATGTGGGCTGGCTCAGTTTGCACTAGTCCTTCATATGAAAATGTGGGAAGAGTGGCACTTGTAATGATTCCTGGCTTCAGCCTTTTCTTCAGTAAAGACATATGAAATACAGGATGCAACTTTGATGATGCAGGGAGGTGCAGTTTGTATGCCACAAACCCTATCCTCTCAGGGATTTTAAATTGTCCAAAATAGCGCGGGCTGAGTTTGTTCCACTTTCGGCTTGCTACTGAAATTTGTCTGAAGGGGTGTAATTTGAGAAACATCCAATCACCGACTTCATATTGGACATTCCTATGATGTTTATCCATAAGTGCGCTTCATCCATTGTTGTGCTTGCAAGAGATGATTTCTCAACTCTTTTAACACCTCATCTCGCTGTATCAATTGTTCTTCTAAGTCTGCTACTGTAGTGGTCCCTTTTTCATAAGGAAAAATAGGGGGAGGGTCCCGACCATATAGAGGTTTGAAGGGCATCATCCCGACAGCGCTATGGAAAGTGGTGTTGTACCACCACTCAGCCCAGTGGATCCACTTCACCCATTGTCTTGGTCGATCTCTCGTGAAGCATCTTAGATATGTTTCAAGACTCTTGGTAACCACCTCTGTCTGCCCATCAGATTGGGGTTGGTAGCTAGTTGATTTAAAGAGTTTAACCCCACGCAGACGAAAAAGTTCAGCCCAGAAACGACTCATAAAAATAGAGTCCCTATTAGACACAAGTGAGTTTGGGAGCCCATGAAGGCGCACAATTTCCCGAAAGAACAGTTCAGCAACTGCTATTGCTGTGAATGGGTGTGATAGAGGTAGAAAATGACTTTATTTCGTCAATCTATCAACCACCACAAGAATAACGGTTTTACTGGCAGAAACGGGCAACCACGTGATGAAATCCATTGATATATCATCCCAAACTTGGGTTGGGATTGAGAGTGGTTGTAAGAGGCCTGTTGGTGTTGTAGTAGCTGCCTTATTTTGTTGACATATTGCACACTCGGCTATGAAGTTTTGAATCGAGGTACGCATGAATTTCTGATGGAATTGTGTGGTAATGCATTTTTGCGTTCGTAGAATGCCAGAGTGATCACCTTGGGTGAGGCATGAAATAATTCAAGGAGCTTCCTGAGATGTGCAGAATTTGCTGGGATTTCCAAGCATCCCTTGAAGAAGAGTAGATGATCCTTGACGGTATACCTAGGGTGCTGTGATGGATTTGCCAATACTTGGGCCTTTAATTGATGTAACTCTGTATGGGAGTGGGCTTCCTTTCGAAGCTGATCCATGAGTGGAGATGTTGGGGATGACACGAGTAGCTGAAACGATTGTGGGTGTTGTGAGAGGGCGTCAGCAATGCGGTTAGTAGACCTTGCTTTGTATTCAATTGTGTAGTCGTACCCCAATTTTTTGGACGTCCACCGTTCTTGTTCCGGTGATAGGACGGTTTGTTCTAACAAGAACTTCAGACTTTGATGTTCAGTCCGAATTATGAATCGCCTACTGAGTAAGTAGGCTTGCCAAAGCTACACTGCTAAGACCACTGCTATTAATTCTCATTCATAAACTGATTTGGCCCACTTCTGTGATGTCAAGGCCTTGTTGAAAAAGGCTAGTGGTCGGCCTCCTTGCATGAGGACAGCCCGAACACCTTGACTAGAGGCATCACATTCAATGATGAAGTCTTTTGTGAAATCGGGCTGTGCTAATGTTGGAGGTGTCAAAACAGTATGTTTCAACTGCTCAAAATCTTGTTGGACTGGGTTGACCAGTGAAAGGCATCTTGTTTCAGTAATTGGGTCAAAGGGGCAACTATTAGGCCGTAGCTTTTGATGAAGCAGCGATAATAACTTGCCAGGCCCAAGAAGGCCCTTAATTCTTTCACATTCTTGGGTTGCAGCCGACCCATTATACAAGAGATTTTATCCGGGTCTGCTGCTACAGTTCCATTTTCTACAACATGTCCTAAGTAATATACTTGGGTTTGTCCAAAGGAGCACTTGGACTCTTTAGCTAACAACTGATGGGCCTTAAGTGTTGCGAGGGTGACCTATAGATGGTTCAGATGTTCTTCCCAGTTGGGGCTATAGACTAATATGTTGTCAAAGGGAACAAGAATGAACTTATGTAAATATGGCTGGAATATGTCGTTCATTAAGGCTTGAAATGTTGTTGGGGCGTTGGTCAACCCAATTGGCATGACCAAGAACTCGTAGTGGCCATCATGTGTCTTGAAAGCCATTTTGTGAACATCCTCCACATGTACCCTTATTTGATGATAACCAGCCCTTAAATCTAATTTTGAGAATATGGTGGCCCGACTAAGTTCATCAAGTAATTCATCTATGACCGGTATTGAGAATCGGTCCTTAATGGTGATATTGTTAAGGGCCCTATAATTAATACAAAATCGCCAAGTCCTATCCTTCTTTATGACTAATAACACTGGCGAGGAGAATGGGCTATGGCTGGGTCGTTTTATTGTTTTCTCAAGCATATCATGAACTTGCTTCTCAATTTCAAATTTTTGGAAATAAGGGTATCTGTAAGGTCTTACATGGTTGGGGCGGCTCCTAGCATGAGAGGAATGCGATGGTCATGCTCTCGGGGTGGTGGAAGCTCTTGGGGTTCTTTGAACACGCTGTCATATTGCTGGAGGAGTTGTTGTAGGCGGCTGTGGTAGTCTCCAAGCCCATTTGAGCTGCTGTTAGCTAAGAATGGACTGACCCAATTCTAGTCCATGTGCATGAATAGGGGCTGATTCGGATCTCCCATTTTGCTTTGTTAATGTTGCAAGACTGATGGGCCTTGGGCCTTTGCATGTTTGCCCTTGTAGATGGACTGTAAAGTCCCTCGACGTGAAGTCCATGGTGAGACCAGCCCAGTCACAGATCATGGGGCCTAATTTTCTTAAGCATTGAATGCCTAGCACCATGTCCGCTCCACTGAGATGAAGGGGGTATAGGTCCATCGAAAATTGGTGACCCTGAACCTTTAGCGGTAGGCCCAGACATATACTGTTGCAAGATAGGCTATTACCGTTGGCCACATGTACTGTAAAAGCCATTGTTGGTTGAACTGGGAGTCCCATTTTATCCACCAAAATTTGAGTTATGAAGTTAAGGGAACTGCCATTGTCTGTGAGGATTGACACGTGACGCCCTTGGATTAACCCAACTACTCTCATTGTTTGTGGGGACGCAAGTCCCATAAGGGCTTGTAGAGATATTTTAGGTGTCCCATTGGTCTGTATTTCCCGCCCGAGGTCAGATTCCCCGTAATCGGTGAAGCCATCTTCCTCCTCAGTCTTTGTCTGAAGGAGAAATGCTTCTTGTTTCTTGCACCGATGGCCCGACCTGAATTTTTCTTCACATTGTAGTAGAGGCCTTTGTCTTTGCGGGCTTGCATTTCAGCCTAGGTCAGTCGTTTGAATGGGACGACGGGTGGGCCTGAACCCAATATTTCTTCCTCCTTGTCCAGTGCTGCTAGTCTGGTTACAGAACCCCCTGGCCTATGCATCCTTCTTGCTCGAGCGAACTTGTCTTCACACAGCCTTGCTAGTGCTGCTGCGTTTATAACCGAAGTAGGCTGCATCGCCTTTACTTCCAGTCGTAGTTCTTCCTTTAAGCCGCTGACGAAGCTTCCCATCCACCGTTGGACTCGCATGGCTAGTTTTTCGAACTCCATCTAGTAATCTTTAACCGATCCCATCTGCCACAGTTTTGCAAGATTCTCATCGTAATCTTCGAATCTAGACGACCCAAAACAGATGGTCAAGGCATTGGTGAAGTCTGCCCAAGATTGACGAGGGTGCACCCTATCTTGCCTAGGTGTCTCATGGTAATCGAAATATCGTTCGACTTTGAGAATCCAGGGGGTCGGGTCGCCGCCTGAGAAGATGGGGAAATCGATTCTTGCTGCTCGCTTTGTTGACATTTCCTCCAGCTGATTGAGGAGAGTGGTGAAACGTTCCTTCATTTCTATGAGGTCTGATGACATTCGATGGATCTCTACCTCCATCTGATCCACCCGGGCATCTACTGATGTTGTCCTTGTGTTGGTCAACCTGCCCAACATAGGGCTCTTCGAGGGAGCCAACCTCCTGAATTCGAGAGAGAGAGAGAGAGAGTTTCATTTGGGTGCTGATGTCAGAAATACTCTAAGTGGATACAGTTCAATTGTCCATCAATGTGAATCATAATTATTAGATCTTTGCTCGTGGCTTACTGACAATTCTGCTATGGGCTTTTCTTAGTGGGAATTTCTCAATTCTAAACTTTGATGTATTTTCTTTAGGAAGCATTCTGCCATTGAGTTTGGAAGAATTTCCAGAAATAACGGTTGGCCAATAAATCTAGTGCAACTTGTTTGAATTGTTGACTGGGCAACAGCTACTTTCTGTGTTCCAGAGCATAGAGCATCTGTTCTGTAGCTGTGATCCATTAGAATATTTTCATTAAGGTAGATTCTCAGATTGTGATAGAAAAAGTGAGAGGTAGAATAACTAATTACTCTTGTCTAACAGATCAGTTCTTTTTGTGTGGTATGGCATTTGTATTGCCCCTGATCTTAGGGTGACATTTTCTCAAATTTTTAATGGATATATATTTCCTTGGTTTGGGAAAACTCTTAGCTCCTTTGTTGTGATGAGGGATTCTTTTTTGCTTGGTTTTTTCTTATATTACCCTTTCCATCCTATGCTGCTTCTCATTCTTTTCCATTTCCTATCATTCTTTTGTCTCTGTTCTAAAATTTTAGCCAGCCTCAACTGCTTTGTTCTTTGTTTGCATTTGGTTATCAAACTGACTGAACCAATTATATCGGTTCTGGACCTTCTGGTTCTGTGGTTTGTGCCCCGATTAATTATTGGGTCCAGACCTGTTCTTGCTGTTCCAAGCCGATTGTATAGTTAGTAACATATGATGGTCTCCTTGTTTTCTTATAATTTTTATTATATTTTATGTGTAAAAGGGTAAATTTCATAGACAGTATTGATATAATTTCACTTAAATCACTTAATCAATTATTAAGGTTATATTATAAAAAATGAAGTTCCAAGTTGTTGTTATCATGAAGAATTGTATATGTCAATTATATTCGGGTCTAGTTGGGTCAGACCTGATTATTCCGTTTAATAATTGGTTTGATTATAGGCCTATTTTATGGAATTGATTAATAATTGGTGTGGGACTGGTCTACCTTGTCCCAAACAAGACCTGTCTCATTGACAGCTTTAAAGCTCGACTTATTTTAGGGTTGGTTCTACTTTGATACATCACCCTGTAGGGTCCACTCCCTCACTTAGATTGTCTTTTGAATTTAGTTGAGTCCCTCAAGAAGGTGAAGAAATATATATATATATATGTGTGTGTGTGTGTGTGTATAATCAAAATATTTCGTGTGTGTATTCTTATACCGTGTCTACTTTTCTATTTCATGTGTTAACCAGTGTTTCCAACCTGCAGTCAAGCTGGCTGGTTGGACTAATTGACCCGTCACCTGTCCATATTTCTGGGTCCATTTTATCCCGAACTGTTGACCTGCAAAAAACTGTTGACTTGGTAACCGATCTGGTGAACCCATCTGGTTGAATTGTTTGACCTGGTTATTTGGTCATAGGTTATATTTTTAGTCTTTTCCATCATCATTAACAGTAATTCTCATTTTTTGCACTTTTTGTCTAATATAATGTATATATAATATTAGAGACATGCCCATTTTTTGCAATTTTCTGTATGTTTATTTTATATTTTTATTGTTTAATTTATGATGTCACAGGTTGACCCCATTTGACCTGGATGGTTGAATCGCTGACCCGCCATGTGGATGGAAAGGCGGTTCTGGTTCCGTTTCCGGGTTGGCTTTAAAAACATTTATGTAAAATTCTGTTGGTGATAATGTGTGTGATTCTGTTTGTACACCGGCCCTGGATTATATGGTTCTTCTTTGTATGTACTATGTAGTGCAGGTTTTGTCTATTCTAGTCATTGTGATAGTTTTCATGCAGAAGTCCTGCTGTTGATAATGTATTTCCAGCACATATATTTTCTTTGCTCTTGTCACTAAGAACTAGCATGTAATGGATGTTTGTTGGGTCTTTCTGTATGTTTTTGGAAAATTATTCTGTTTTTGTGCTGTTCTCTTTGTCTGTTCTAAGTACTCGTGCATTTATGCCCTTATTTATCCATTACTTTTTATTTTATTTTTTTATTTTGTCATTCAATCAAGGGTTTAGTTCTCATCTTCAAGTTGACTTATTCTGTAGTTATTCTGGCGGACCCGGAATCTTGGTTATTTGCTAGAGGCAATTATGGTTCTGGAATTTGGTTTGACAATCCGAAGGTCAGATTTCTAGACTGGCATTTTCTCCTTAATTTATTGTTATCTTTAGTTCACCAAATTCTTATTATCTTTTTTTTTTATGGTTCAACCCAAGTTCAGGTACTTTTATTTTTCGAAATTTCTTTTTTAGATTGGGTGGAAATAGCGCTGTTTGGGTTCAAAGATAATATCTCAGTTTTGCAAGCATGAAATTGTGGGTTTGAGTTTGAGAGAGGCCATTTCATGCCAAAATATTCTAAATGTTAGATCGGTATCCAGTCTAACATGGAAAATTTGTTTATTTTTTCTGTCCTCATGGGAATTTTGAGGCCAAAGATGGAGCTAACATCACATCCAATCCAAAGATTGTTACACCATTTTAGTGTCTATATGTGGAAGCTGAAGTTACTAGCAAAAGATTGCACTACAATCAGATATATCTCCTACATCATACCACCACGGACTTCTGTTCATGCCAGTGACTCAGAGGTGAATATAAATTCAGGGTCCGTTTGGTTTACCATCGGAGTTGGAATCAGATTCGGAATCAAAATGGTATATTCCCATAATCTGTTTGGTTCAGACAGGAATGGGAATAGGAATTGGAATCAGCAGGATTGGGATTCATTCCCAAGGAAGGGGTAGGGAATGCCCATTCCCTCTAATGGGGGAATGCCATTCCACCAGGAATGGAGATGGGATTCCAATTCCGCCCAACCAAACAGTTGGAATTGGAATAGTTCATTCTGATTCCGATTCCAGACCCCTATTCTTGCGAACAAAATGAGGCCTCGAGTTTTTTTTAATAGAATTGTACAGTTAKTTAAGGCCAAGGAGACTAGTTCAAGCTATAATCTAGAGATACTAAAGGCACTAGAAGAAATATCTTCCAGTAATGGGGCTCTGACTTGCGAGTTGTACAACTTGAGACCACTTTGAGTTGGGGATTCTTTGAGGGTGGAATTTTGATGGTAGCAGCATTGGCAATCTGGGCCGTTCTAGTGTGAGCGGGGTGTTTAGGGATGGAAATGGCAAGATCCTAGCAATTTTATCATGGACGAACTGGTGCCAGGATTCTTTACGATCAAAATTAACAGTTGTTCTACAAGGCTCGAAGCTGACATGGTTAATGAGTATTTACAAAGTGGTGATAGAAAGTGATTTTAAGGTGGTGGCCAGTTGGGCTAACAGTAATAGCCAGGTGATTTGGCAGTAGATGACAGACAATTAAGACGATTAGGTGGTTGATGAGGGTAATGGAGGTATGATACCAGTGGGTTCAAAGGTTGGCAAATGGTATGGATGATGCGTTGGATAAGTTAAATACTCATTAACCATGTCAGCTTCAAGCCTTGTAGAACAGTAATAGCGAGGTGATTTGGCAGTAGATGGCGAACAATTTAGAAGATTAGGTGGTTGGTGAGGGTAATGGAGATAGGATACCAGTGGGTTCAAAGGTTGGCAAATGATATGGATGATGCATTGGATAAAAAAGCGAAGGTGGAATTCTTCCTTCCTATATATTGGGATATATAATAATATGTACATAAACATTCTTTATAAACGGAAATAAGAACTTAATTTACCTATAAAAAAACTTGAGACCATTTGTGCAAATATAGAGCTCTTTCTTGGATCTTGGAATCTCTTAAGGGATGGTGGAAGTCTAGAAATGGTGAAAGAGTTTGCCCAATAAGGGAGATAGGTTCTTGCAGATATTTGAATCATGTTGGAATTGGTGTAAGTGTATAAAAGAATGAAGGATGTGACTTAGAGAGATAAATGGCGGAATAAGGGTGATATCTGCTCTCTTGTCTTTATTTATGTTTATCTTGTTTTCTCTACCTCATCATCCTCATCGTCCATGCCTTACCTCAACTATATGGGGTCAGCTACATGAATCCTGTTTCGCCAATCCGTTCTATTTAAAACCATATCTACTGTTAAGTTATTAGTGCTTAAATCATTTCTTACTACTCTACATTACCTCTTTTTAGAGAAGAAGTTCATTAGCAATACATGCAGAAGTAGATAGTCAGTTTACATATATAACAGTAAGCCTCCAGGATCTCTTCATCGAATTCTGTTCAGTTTAGTACCATATCCATTGTTAAATGATGAGTGCTAAATAACCAAAAGAGTTGGCAAAAGTTTCAATGCCAGATGCCAATTTGGAACGACACTCCTTTATCTGGGCATGGAATTGGCAGTTAAGACAAGTTCACACTGGTAGGGTTTACGCCTCTAGGATCTGATTTTATTTAGATTGGATGAAGGAAGGTTGTGTTTGCATGGAGAAGACAATGAACAGAGAGAGGAGGATAAAAGATGAAATACAAAAAATACCCCCTAACCAATGAAAAGCTTAACTAAAGAGCAATATTGTCTAAAAACAGTACTACTAATGTTCTGCAAGTTTAGTTTTAACTATTCTTTTTCTTCAATTGTCTGTAACATTTCTTTCTTTCCAGAGGTTGTCTCTTGCTGAAGGTAATGACACCTGTTTATCTGGTCCTTTTTAGCAGAAATATGTGGCAATACAAGATTCTATTGTTGCACTTATATTCGCACTTGAGTGCCCTTCGATTAGCCTATGAATGGTAACTTCAATCTAATACTGTCAAAATATTCTTTTTGGTTCATTAACTGTTATTTTTTAGCTATCTATCACTACATGCAATTTCAGTTCTTTGACTATTTTGATTATATAACCATACCTAGTTGGGCCTTATTGACTATCACTAAATACCTCTTCTTCTGTAGGTATAAAACACTGGAGATAAAGAATATCCTGCTGGAAACAATTTCTCACCATATTTTACCCCAGATGTTAGTATCTCCTCTTTGGAATGAGCTAACTGACCTTCTAAAGGATTATCTCAAATTTATGGATGATCACTTCAGAGAATCTGCTGACCTTACCTTCCTTGCTTATCGACATCGTAATTACTCAAAAGTATGTGTTGTGTTCTTCAGGATCTGCTTATACTTTCTTCATTGCCATTTTCCAGGATTGCCTAAAATATTATGCTTGTTCTTATTGCTATTTTGTTTAGACTATGGGTTATGCATTGCCTATTGCCACTCCATCCATATCTCATAATTAATGTTTTGAATCCTGGTCTGGAGGCTGAACTGCTCTCCCCCTTGGTAAATGATCTGTTGCAATGTTTTAAAAACCGTCCCAGAGGATGAACCAAATTTCCTTCTAGGTGGATGGGCCATGTTCAACCATTTGCATCACCAGGTTGACCCCGTGATATCATACGAACAAAAATGTTAAAAAAATATAAATATAAAACCCAATGGGCCATAAGTTAACTGAACCCAGAGTTGTGATGGGTTGACAACATTAGTCAGCAGTTAAACCTCCTTGGTCAATGGGCCAACATGTGATACCATAACAATAATTTTTTATCAGTCCATAACAATAAAAATCTGGAAAAGTAAAGTAATACAAAGCTAGCCAACAGTTCAACAATCTGGTTTTGCAGGTTAGAGGTTGATCCAAGCTGAAATTTTGACCAATGATTTAAAAGGCTTGCCTAGGCGCATAGGCGAGGCACATTTTGGGTTTTACATCACATTAGCTACTTGAAGCAATGCAATTAAGGAGAAAAAGAGATTGTGGGTTTTACATGCTTGAAAATGCTTTATATGTTTGCTTTTATTTTTAAAATTTCATTTGAATACGCTTTACATCTTATGTTTATGTATTTTAGTTTTAGATAATAGGTTTTTTAAAACATTTATTTTAAAACTTAAGTTTATATTTTTTATTAACATTATGTTTTATATTTTTTGAATTTTTGCATTTTTTAAATTTTTTTTGGCATTTTTTTGAATTTTCTGACTTTTTTTTCATTTTAGTTTTTTTTTTGTGATTTTGCGCCTTTCTTAAAATGGCGTGTGCCTCGCCTTGCGCCTCAAGTGCAAATTGGCCCTTACGCTTTTAAAACACTGATTGTGACTAGGTTATCGGTCTGACAAGATGGGTCTATGAACAAGTTGAAAACACTGCTAATAATATAAGGAATGAGTAATATTGTGAGAGTAAAAAGGATACATATATGCCTGAAAAAAGTATACAGATTTGCATGGATATGGTCGGGAAATGCATGTAAAGATTAAAGTACATAAAGAAATCCTATATATATATATATTCTAAAAGATGATATTTTCCAAATGCGGTGCCCCCTTGGGAGGAATGCTCTTAAAGAACTATGAGGTTATAGGCTTTTCTAAGGCATATTTGCCTTTTTATCATCCAATTTTTTATGAAGAGGAGCTAAGGTATCTTAACTCCCCAGAAGTTGGGAATGCACCCAAACTGATAAAAACAACAATTACAACTGAGCTCAGAACCCAGAAACCCTATTAACCCCTTGCCTAGCTAATCCTTCGGCAAAGGAGTTTGCATTTCTCTTTACCCAAGTACACTGAACTTCCATCTTCTTGATCAGCCATTTGAACTTTCTCTTTGCATTACTGCAACTCCACATCTTAGAAGTGTCTTCTTTTAGCCAGTCCACTACGATCACAGAATCACCCTCTATAATCAATTTCTCAGCCCTCGAAGAGTCTCCCACTTCAATTGGGCCAGAGAACATAACTATTACATTACTTTCTCATCTCTTAACACCCCCAGTACCCGAAGACCCTAGATTCCACATGTTACTGCCATCAAAATTCAGTTTAATAAAACCAGGAGGTGGAGGGTTCCATGTGAGATTCGATGTTTTCTTAATTGAGACTGACCTAGCAATTTCTTTCCATTTTCTTAACATATCATCTGTTGAAAAATCTGTGAACTCATCCATTGTTTTCAGCCAGTGTAATACTCTTATATGAATCACTTCTAGCATAGTTGCCAAACCTCTCTCCTTTTCTGAAAAGATCATTGAATTTCTTTCTTCCCATATTGTCCAATGAACATCAGCTCTCACACATCTCCACATGATTCTTGATCTTTTTGTTGGGCAGTCAAGAGAAGAGGAAAACAAGCTTTGCACATTTGTTGGGGAGATCCACCTGCACCCAAACAAAGAAGCAAACCATTCCCAAATATTTTTTGCCAAAACACAGGATATTAGTAAGTGGTAACTAGACTCACCGGCAACTTTGCAAAGAACACATCAGTGTGGAGATAAACAACTATTGGGTCTTTCCAAGAAAGCTTCCCAACAGAAACTAGACTCACCGGCAACTTTCCAAGAAAGCTTCCCAACAGAAACTCCCAACCCTCAGAGGTATAGGTTGACACCACACTTCCTTGACAGGGAATGACAAGCCAATAGGAATTTCCGGTTGTATTAGGGCTTTAAAGAGGGAGACACAAGTAAAAAGATCCGGAAGGAGACAGTCCAAATCCTACTATCTGTTTTTGTAGGCTCCAAGAATACCCCATCAAGAATGGACAAGAGAGTTGAGGTACTATCCAATTCTGTATCACTGAGTGCTCTTCCAGTGCTTGAGTCCATTTCAAACCAATGTTTCAAAACATGGAGGCGTGATGCGAGGCATTCCACTACCTAGAGGTGTGAGGTAGTTCAGAACGCAAGAGGCGTAAGCCTCCTTAAGAGGAGGGGGATGAGGAAGAAGAGGAATGAGGCGCATGAGGTGTACACCTCTAGCACACCTTATGAAAAAAGCATATGTGACGCATGCCTCTTGCACCTGAGGCGTGCGCACGCCTCAGTAGTGTCATCGCCTCTGGCATACGCTTCAGGGCGTATTGGGGGCACCTCGCCTCCCACGCCTTTTAAAACACTGTTTCAAACATATACAGCATAAGGGTATTTTGCTCGTTCTTTTAGGATTTTGTCTCTTTAAAATTTTTAAATATTTTGAGTTCCAAAAATTAGACTTGTATTAATACTGGAAAGAAATGCATTAGGCTGAGAATGGAAGGGACTCTTTTATGCCTTCTTTCACCTGGTTAAACTGATGATCTATTATATCTTTAGTTCTATATGATATAAACACATGGTTGCATCCATTCAGTCTGTTCAAGAAAAAACTTTTCCTGCATATATAATATTTGTATTTTGTGGGATGAAGGTGCCATTGTTGTGGTTAAAGTTTTTCCTGCATACGTAATGTATCTTGCTCCTTGTGCGATGATATTTCTGTGAAGATGGTAGAGAATTGTCCGATATACTATGATCCTCTACTACAGGTGAATTTAGAGAATTTATCCCCTATTCCCCAGTCCTCATACTAAGTAGTGCTTTGAAGTTCTGATGTACACTCCCTAGAATACTGGGCTTTCAGGAGGATAAAGCTTTCATACGAGTGGTAGGAGAAATATCTTTTGACCTACTTGGGTGTTGGGTCTAACAGAGTTTGTCAGTCTGGTAGATTGGTTTGTGCTGTCTTAAAGGCCCTCCATCAGAGTCTTGGACTTTGAGATTTGGACCTGTAAATATGAGAAAGAAGGAAGAGAGTTATGAGAGAGAAGTGGAGAACATAGGAAAGGCAAGCAAAGACGCATTGGGCAGTAAGAATAGGACAAACATAGATGGTTGATTTTCAGATGTTATGAAAGGAGAACGGATTTCTCTACCTGTTAACGTTTGCCATAATAAAACCAATCCACTAAAATATGCTTGCTGTTGTGCACTTGTACTCCTATTATGGTACTTTGGATTATGTGCAATTTTTATTGCTGTTTGTTTGTCATGGTATAGTCCTGTAGGACCATCAAGGACAATTCCCAACTATCCCAGGAGAGTGTTTTCTTATTCATGATACTAGATTACCGCTAACAAATGTATAATAATCTAAATTAGTTTGCTCTGAAACTTTCACCATAATAAAATCCTTCTTGTCAGCCTGATTTTACCACCAGACCAAGCAATGGTGCCTTGACTGGCTACACTAATATGTGCACACATGCAAGCACAATAAGAAAAAGGAAAGAAGAAGCTTACCAAGTCAAGCATAATCAATAAAGTCTTCCAACCAACATCTGAAACACCTTTGCTAGCAAGCGCTTCTTGGTCGCCTCTAAGCACTAAGCTTATGGTCAATTGGTGTTTTAATTGGTTGAAGTGTTATTTCTGCAGTATTCTTTCTGAAATCCAATTCTCTCATATTCTACAAATCTTGATTAGTTGACATTTCTAAAACATCTGCAATTGGCTACCTTAGTTGCAACTGAAAAAACTACCCTCAAGAGACTTTTACATGGTTGAGAGGGGGCAGCAAGCCAGCAATTATGAGAGAATTGGAAGAATTAATAACCACTGGATCAAATAACCTGTAAAAGCTTCCATTGGCAATTTTGTAGTCTTTGGGGGTGTAGAGAAATCTTTATTTATTTGAAAATAAGATGTGGACAGTATTCCATTTCTTTTTTGCTGTTGATTCAGAAAGCTTCTGAAGGAATTCCATACAATGCTTTTTTGGTGTTTCAGAACCTGTTTATAAATTGTAACTTACGATATATATTACTGTATATCCCCAATGTACAAATCCTTGGTGTACATGGTCACTAACTTTTTTGTAATCATTTTGCCATATGATACATGAAGTCTGTACTTTTCAAAAAAAAAAAAGAAAAAGAAAAAGAAAACCATTTCAGCATAAAAAAACTGCATGAAACAGAAGTTTACTAGGCCTAAGTGATGAATGATGAGAAGAAAATTATTCAGTAAAGTCTCAAATCTGCATCAAATTACATGAAACTTGAATCTTATTGTCCAGAAGTATCCTGTGGAACAAGGCTTACAATGGTCCATGATGTCAGAAGGTCTTCTTGTGGCCATGATCCTTAGAGCAAAGTTCTCGTGTGCTTTGATAGAAAATTGAAGGTCTTCTTGTGACAATGATCCCACAGATACTTCTTAGTATTCATGCTTCTCCATGCATTAAACAATATATTCAGCACATAGGTCGATAAAATTTTTTTGATGTAAGGTGTTTTGTGGTAGGGGGTGACTTTTGTTGGCTGGTTTAGACTAGGTATCAAGTATCTGTGGGTCCTCCAGCATTTTATAAGAGGTGAGAGCCCTGGCTTATGATGCCTGACAATGTAGCTAGAGGAGTTGAGAGCTGAATTGTATTGGGTAGAATCCCTTGCTCAATGCAGTCACTATAGTGTTTCTTTTCCTTGTATTAGCAATGTATTGTCTTCTGTGGGTGTTGTATTAATGTATTCCTATTAACCTTACATAAAAGTGGAATAGGGTATGGATATTGATGATGATAATATGAAATGACAATATTTTTTATTTATTGTCTTTTAGGTAATTGAGTTTGTTCAGTTCAAAGAGCGATTGCAGCACTCTTACCAATATTTGATGGTGAGGGTTGAATATCCTATTTTACAACTGAAGCAGAAAGCAGACAACATTGAAGAAGAAGAGGTCCCAAATGTTCTGAAGTTCTAACTTCTAAATAAGATTTCATATATTACTGTTCTCTTATGTCTAACAGTTCCTATATATTAAAATGTTTATTCTCTATTTCAGTGTATTCTTGAAGGCATGAACTCCGGTATTCAGTCACTTGATCTTTCGAATAGGGATGGGTGCAAATCTTTGACCTTCAATGAAGACATGCAGTCACGACCTTGGTGGACACCTACACCAGATAAAAATTATCTGTTAGGTTGGTATAATATGTGCCTTCTTTACATCCGTTAGCCTTTGCCTCCTAATTATCGCATAATCACTTGGCATTTAGTTAACTGATTAATTTGGTCATGCGTCCTTTTTTCTCCTAAACCTTTCATTCTTTTGGTAGAAGCAACTTGTTGGAAAGCTCTGTTTGAGAAAGTGAAAGGAAAATGTATTGTAAAAAAAGTTAAAACTTTTGGCTAAATAATTACACAAACTTCTATGAAAAGCCTGCATTTCTCTAACAGTGTTAGAATTTATGCAAAAACAAAAAAGGAACATGTTTTTCTGTTCTGGCAAGTTTTTCTTCTAAATTTTGTCAGAAAATTAATTAGTGTACACATATTTTCAAACAAACAATAAATACGTACGACATTTATGATTTTTTTTTTTTTTGCATTTAGTAAAAGTCTTTTTTGTATATTGATTGCTTAATTTTCCATAAACAGGACCATTTGAAGGTGGCTTCTTTGCTTTTAGAGAAAATATGGTATGACATTTCTCTGGTCATTCATTTTTTACATTGACTGAAAATTTTGTGTGCTTCCTATCCTACTTTTTTTCTTTTCGAAATGCCTTTCTATCCTACATCAGTTGCTTTAATTTTTCCTAAATGTGTTTCGTCCTATCATGCAGAACTGGATTAGCAGCAATATTGATGGCARCTTTATTGTCACAGTAGAGTGACAGGATTGCTCACTTCGAAACCTAGTTCACCTAACAGATTTCTTATCCACATGATTTCCGCAACCCCATGAGCCATCGCTCTATACTCTGCTTCAGCACTGGATCTAGCCAMCMCACTTTGTTTTTTGCTTCTCCATGTGACAAGGTTTCCTCCTACAAAGGCACAATACCCACTGGGAGACTTTCGGCCATTGACTGTTCCTGCCCAATCTGCATCAGTATATACTTCCACTTTTAAGTGATTGTGTTTCGGGAACAACAAACCAGCTCCAGGAAACTTTTTGAGATATCTCAAGATCCTCTCTGTAGCCTCAAAGTGAGTTGTCCTAGGGATGTGCTTGAATTGACTAAGGACACCCACTGCATAGGCAATATCAGGCCTGGTCATAGACAAATACAAAAGTCTCCCCACGAGTCTCTGGAACATCTTTACATCTTTCAAAAACTCTCCCTGACTGTCTCCCAAATGGTGATTAGGTTCAATAGGTGAATCAAATGGTTTTACCCCCAACTTGCATGTATCTTCTAGTAGATCTAGTACATATTTCCGTTGGGAAATAAAGATGCCCTTGTGAGAGCGGACGACTTCAATTTCAAGGAAGTATCGTAAGGGGCCTAGATCTTTCACTTCAAATTTAGTGGCTAAGAATTTTTTCAGTCTCCGGATTTCAGCCTCCCAATCTCTTGTGATCACCATGTCATCCACATACACAATAGGAGTTGTAATTTTACCTTAACCTCTTTTCACAAATAGAGTATGATATGACTGGCATTGTTTGAACCCCATCTGTTGAACTGCTAAATGAAACTTACTGAACCAAGCCCGAGGTGATTGTTTCAACCCATATAGAGATTTTTTTAACCTGCACACCTTTTGTTCACTGCCTTTGGCATAGAACCCTGGGGGTTGGGTCATGTACACTTCCTCTTCCAAGTCACCATTCAAGAAAGCATTTTTTATGTTCAATTGGTGAAGATCCCAGTCAAGATTTGCTGCCAAGGAAAAAAGAATCCTGATAGAGTTCATCTTGGATACTGGAGCAAAAGTCTCTGCATAGTCCACTCCATATACCTGTGTAAAGCCTCTTGCTACCAGTCTAGCCTTGTACCTTTCAACAGTTCCATCAACCTTCTATTTCACTGTGAACACCCACTTGCACCTCACTGGTTCCTTCCCTTCAGGAAGGTCTACTAACTCCCAAGTGCCATTTTTGTGTAAAGCATCAATTTCTTCYTGCATTGCATCTGTCCATTCAGGTTTAGACAAAGCTTCTGCCACAGTTTTAGGAACGGGGACACTGTCCACAGAAGAGAGAAAGGCACGGTATGACGGCGAAACATGCTCATAGGACACAAAATTAGAGATAGGATGATTAGTGGTACAAGACCTAACACCCTTCCTCTTAGCAATAGGAATATTAAGATCATTGGTGACAGGTGAATCAACATTTARAGGAACAGATATATCAATGGGAGCAAGTGTACCTGGCTGATGAGACGGATCTGCCTTGGGTGAATCCGATGATGTTGGTTGCATAGTGTCAGGCTCCATGACTCTTGAACTCTGTTGGCTCTTATGGCGACGATGAAAAACCCGAAATGGAGGAGGATCGGGTAAAGGAGGTAGTTGAATTTGAATCGTCGCCTGTTTCTCCTCAACCCTACTCTCCCCCCGAGGAGAAACCAAGAAAAAAGGTTGATTCTCAAAGAATGAGACATCAATGGAAACATAGTACTTGCGAGCAATGGGATCATAGTRGCGATACCCCTTTTGAGATAAAGGGTAACTAAGAAAAACACAAGGAATAGCCCGATGATCAACCTTACCACGAGTAGGGGACAGGTTATGGACAAAAAACGACACCCAAAAACACGCATCGGAATGGTGGACAACGGGGTTGTAGGGAACAAGAGCTGATTATGGGCCTTATACTCTAGTAGCCGAGAGGGCATGCGATTGATGATATATGTCGCACACAAGACTGCATCCATCCAAAACCGTTTTGGCACATTCATATGAATCAATAAGCCACGAGCGACTTCGAGAAGGTGACGGTTCTTCCATTCAGCCACACCATTTTGTTGGGGTGTCCTGGCACAAGAGCTTCGCTGAAGTGACCCACTCGAAGCAAAAAACTTTGTGAGATCACTATGGAAATGTTCCTTCGCATTGTCTGACTGGAAGATATGGATTTCTGTTTGGAATTGACTGAACACCTTGCGTTGAAAATCTTTCACAATTTGTGGCATTTCATCTCGAGATCGCATAGGGTAAACCCAAGTGTATCTAGAATAATCATCAATCAAGGTAATGAAGTACTTATAGCCAGCCGCAGTAGGTAGAGTAACAGGGCCCCAAACATCAGAATAAACAATATGAAATGGAAATTCAGATCTTTTATTTCGTAAAGGTAAAGAACTTCTACAATGCTTACTCAACTGACAAGTTTGACACTGTAACTGACTCACTGACAAGGACTCAAACAACTTTGGAAACATAACTTTTAACGACTCAAAAGAAAGATGACCTAAACGACTATGCCATAAATAGGCTTGACTTTCACTTGATGAACTCATGGACTCTGTCGCCACTAGACCAGCATTATTCTCCAACACGTAGAGACCATCCACCATGCTTCCTCTACCAATCGTCTTCCCCGAGGTCAAATCCTGAAACACACATGAAGACGGAAAAAAAGTGACTGAGTAGTTCAAGGAGTGAGTTAGACTACTAATAGAGAAGGTATGGTGCCTCGGCCAAGTGGCCAAGTGGGAGAGGTATGGTGCCTCGGCCAATTATGGTAGAAAAAGAACCATTAGCCAGTCTTACTTTATCTCTCCCAGAGAGAAGGTTATATGTTTGAAACAAATTTGACTTACCAGTCATGTGGTTTGAGGCTCCGGAGTCAATAATCCAAGGAGAATCAGTAGTATGAGATGACACATGGAAGGBTGTGGCATTACCTGATGTAGACGCAAACGAGGTAGAGGGAGTAGGACCAGAATCCATCTGGCGGAGAGTCCTACCATACAATTCCAAATGTTCACAGAAGGAGTTGATAATATCTTCCTTAGGGTCAGAACTGAGATGCCTCTCCTGAGTTACCAAAGGACTAGTCTCTGTCGATGCCATATTAGCTGAGTTATACCTTTTTTTATTCTGTTGGCCTAGTTTCTTGCCCTGATCAGGTGCTGACTTCTTACCCAAATCCTATGCCTATTTAGGTTTTCCATGGAGATCCCAACATGTATCTTTTGTGTGTCGTGTCTTCTGGCAGTGAGTGCACCAAAGTTTGCTCTTATCATCTGATTTTTTCTGAGTGTCACCCTTTTTAAAACCACCTCCAACATTTGTATCTAAATTTCCCCGGACAGCTAGGGCAACTGACTCCCCTTCTACACCATTCATCACACTTCTGCTTTATTCTGACTGCACCAAGACACCTCCTGAACTGATCGCAAGTCTTTACTACCCAAGATCTGCACCCTGATTGTCTCATACGAAGGATTCAGCCCTTGGAGGAAGGCAAACACTCGTTGCTGAGATACAAGTGACTTATAGGCCTTTGCATCTTCATCACACTTCCAATTCACATTCTGAKAGTGATCAAGTTCTTTCCATATTGATGTCAAATCAGAATAGTACATCAAGAGACTCCTCTCCCCCTGCTTGCAAGT